GGCGTTCTCAGTTATTTACCGTGTTCCTAGTAATCTATCTAGGATTCTCGACTACGTCTTCTATCAGTAACTGAAATGGTTGCAATTATTACCAGAAGACCAACTCTTTGTATGCAAAAGAAGTATGCTCAACCTCTATCTTTACCTTGGCCAACAACAAAGCCAACAAATCCTGCATAAATCCATACGAAGTTCTATTTTAGCTCATTTGATTGATAGCGGTCACCAAGTGGACAAAAATAATGCTTTCAAAGTTGTTTATCGCATTCCATCGAGTCTTTCGAACCGAATCAGAACCCGTCTTTAACACTTAGCCGAAGCTATGGGAATTAATTCGAGAGAACAATCGTAGTCTTTGCATACAAAAGAAGTTTGTTCTACCTTTGTCTCTCCCTTACTTGCTTAGGTGAATTCTATTCAAAACCCTCCCACCCTTTCTTATCTTCCATCTCCTTCCTATTTTTGTGATATTTATTTAAACTCTGATTATCGATGCATTTCACCTTTTAAGATTTGACCTAATTTATTTATTTATTGAATTGTCTACATATACACATATATACATATACTATCTTTGTTATTCTTATCGCCACCTGCATAAGCCTTATTATCAATATTGTGCAACGGTGGCTCTCGTGGCCCAAGTGGTCTAGTGGATAACGCTTTGGCGTTTGAAACTATGGGCACTGGGTTCGAACCTCAGTGTGAACATCATCACTAACTGAGAAATGCACATACACCCAGCTGACGAGTCCCAAATAGGACGAAATGCGCATCCTGGATTCCACTGCTAGCCACCATCCACCAATTGTATACTTATTATCAATATTTTGTTATCATTATAATAATCGTTAATAACTACGTTCAAAACATTTACCACTATTATTATTATTATTTGATCCATAAAATCACCGTCATTGTTTAAAAATTTTTTATATATAAGTCTATGTAAATTAGAGTAAAGCCTGAAGATGATTTGATTGAAAACAATATTGTTTGCTTATATGTCTTGCTCTAATATTGTTTGACAATCATTCATCAATAGTACTTGTAATTTTACACCATATCATCGTTATTATTTTACAATCATTCTTATTGTTGTTACTTTCAACGTTGAACTTATGTCTAGTCCGTCCCATTCGTTGGTTTATTTTCATATATGTCTCACACACCCTGAGTATACTGACTTTCGAAGCCTGTATTTTGTTGACTATATTTATATGTATACAGACGCATCATTAAATTGTCATCTGAATTTATCTTATGTTCTCATTGACCATATATGTTAAAAAACTAACTGACTATTGTCCCATCCCATCTTACTTATACTTGTTCCACAGTACTGGCTATTGTAAGACATATATTAATGGGTTTATAATTAATTGTAAAGCCTGAAGAAGGAAGAATTTATCTTTAAACCACAATTGTTCGCTAGAGCTATTCTATTTTGTTCTAATCAATCTGTAAAATTCTTTCGTATCTCTGGAATATTTTTGCATCATTCCTATGCATACTGCCAAGCTTATCAATCGCTTTCATCTCCCTCCATTATGTTGCATAGTCACATGGCATTTATTACTGTGAAAGTGTTCATCATTGTACACAGTTGAATAGAACCAATGTAACATGATGGGTGGCGTTTTTTCTTTATCGTGTTCACTTTGTTCACTGTGTGTTCTTATTGTGTGTTTTTTTTTTCAAGTAACTAAGGCGCTATTTCTTGTTTTCCATAGTCATCTATGCCTGTGTAGTTAAATATCAATTCATCATGGGAATATCTTGCAGGCACAAAATTGATTAACCACATAAAGAAGTAGAATTACAAAACATTATATATATATATATATATATATATATTGGTATATTGGTATTATTATTATTATGACACACTTCCAAGATTGATGTAGTATCTCCAACATTTAGGCCAACAATTGTTATTTAATACATATTCACGTGCTAACTTCTTAAATAATGAAAGAGACTGAATAATCTCACACATTCACCTCCTTATTATTACTATTATTATTAATTATTCTTAAATGCTATATTTCAAAATGGTGGACACACACACTCTCTCTCTCTCTCGTAAAAGTGCAATCCAATACTATTTTTTACAAGAGTGATTCTGTAGGGATTTGATTTATTCCTATTTTAACCACGGTTTAATATCCTGGGAGAAGTGGATATCTATTTCGTCTCAATTTGGGACTTTTCATCAGCGCACACTTACCGCCAGGACTCAAACCCAAGAGTTCTAGTGAGAAATCGTGAACAGTAAGGTACACTAGGTCTAGTAGGAGGATAAATACTGGTGACTCTAAACTATAGCAGCCCGAACTGAAACTACCTAGCGATCGGATAAATGACCTTGACAACGACAACTTTGACCAATCAGACGTCTGTATAGAAACAGAGCATAATTTGAATAAAACGTTTACATAGAAGTAATGCAATGTTAGAAAATAGTTAAAAAGGATGACATTCTTTTATATGTTCCAAAAAACCTTCCAATTTCTTATAGGGGTCTTCATAATTATGTTAAACCAAGCCCTGTACATAAAAACATCAAGATAACTGTAAATCATTGCATTTCCTAATCCATTCACAGGAATTTGTAAACTAAAGAGAACGGCATACCTTCTCTAACTGACTTTCCGACTCAGCAGTCATCTCACCTATAAAAAATATCCATCAACATTCCTAGTATATCTTTGTAAATACACAACACTATCATATTCACATTTTTTCGACCTTCCGATCAGTTTGTTCTCAAAAAGAAGACCTGGAACGGATTCGCAACGCAGAAGGCGTTAGTACGCCTGAATAATACGGAGTCACCTGACTGGCTGCTCAAGGTCACTCATCCGTTCGCTAGGTAGTTTCGGTTTGGGCTGCTATAGTTTAGAGTCACCCAAGTACTTGCCATTTACAATGGTGGGTGGGCGCGATTAAAGCACAAAATGGTAGAAGTTGGAATCCATTGGACTTAGAATCAGGTCCCAGTGGCTGAATGGCATACATATACTTGACTTGTAACCGCAAGGTTCAGGGCTCGAGTCCCGGTAGGTTCATAGTGCTGAATAGCCCCAAACTACAATGAAACACCTGTGCAGTACTGTATGATTTCCAATGATTCTTTCCGTGATCAAACCTATAATTATTATTCATTTTACAAAACCTTTAAATATATATATATATATTTATACATTGAACACATACACAAGCATATACATGATTAGAAGTCATTTTCATTTTGTGATAAAAGGCATACGAGTTAAAGGTCCAACACAGTCTTTGATTTTCAAACTCTTGCAGATTAAGCCTTACGATTTTCTTATTAACTTGGCAAATTCTATAAAGTAATAAATTAACTGGATCTAATTTGTGTAGGTGGCACAGCGGTTAGAACGCTCGCCGATCATGCGCATGATTCGGAATTCAATCCCCGGCCACCTCACTAAGCCAGAAATAAAGCTGGCAGAAAGGAAAAGTTGGGCATGAGGCTAGCAACCCAATCCTGTAAAAATAAAAAGCGCTTAAAAACTTCCAGCCTTTAGATTGAAGTTCCCTACGTTCCACTGGGAACGTGAAGGAATAAAAGAGGATTCCTAGCCGCCTAATTTCCCTTCAAAAAGATGTCTGCTCACGAATGAATGTTATCATTATCAGTGTCAATGGCTGTCTCGAATAATAAGGGAATATTTATAGTGACTAAGCAAAAGAAATGACATTTTAGAATTTCGATTGTGTTTTCATGATGCAATGTCCACTAGTATTTCATCTACGATTACGTAGATAACAATATAGACCACTGGGGAGTGAGAAAAAATGAGAATACTTTCAGTCGAGAAAAAGAATCCAGAAGATCTACATTTCGCGGATGATTTACATCTAGTGTATTACAAATCAAAAGATCTACAGACAAAAACAAACAGTTTGACAAAATAGGCAGGCAACAAAGGCAGGAATTGAAATGAACATTGAGAAGACTAAATGTGATGAAGATACCCACCGACCTACGACGACAACAACAACAACAAGAACGAATTAATTGGTGGATAGTGACAAGCAGTGGAATCCAGGATGAAGCGCATTTCGTCTTACTTGAAACTCGTTAGCCAGTGGGGGTTGTACCTGCATTCCCCATTGAGTGATGGTGTTCCCACTGAGGCTCGAACTCAGTGGCCATAGTTTCAAACGCCAAAGCGTTGTCCACTAGCCCACTTGGCAGCACTGGGTTAGAGCCTAGGTGGGAACATCATCACATGTGAAACACAAGTGAGAAATGACGAATAGGGCGCAATTCCGAGAGAATGTGGATTAGACAAGGGCTTATGAACAACCGTGGAGGCAGCTAAGAATGACTACAGGAAAGACGAAGAACTAGAGATGCTCTGTGGAAGTCTTGAATCAATAATCATAGTAATAATAAAGCGCACAAACAATAGCAGAGTTAGATGAATTTAAGTACCTAAGACTCCTTTGTTTTTTAATCATCTTTTTTGTACTCGCATTTATTTCTCTCTGCAATTTAAAGTTTCAGGAGTGCTGGGACTTCTTTGAGCGGTGGAGACAATAGGTAACCTCATGGCCGACAACACCCCTACTTTTTCTGGCTTATAGAAATGTGTTTTTCAAACATTCCAGAGAAGATATATCATCAAATACAAATGAATTTTCTATAGTTGGTTTGTAAGAATTAGCTTTTTTACGAGTTGATCACGGATTGATGTCAGTTAGAGAAGCATTGAAAACCAGGAAGTACTGGACAACCTGCCTTGTAACCGGAACGTCCTGAGTTCGAAACCTGTCAGTGGATGCGTGCTGCCGACGAGTGCCAAACTACGATGAAATAGATGTCCAGTTCCCTCTGTGGCTGATTTTCAATGATTCTCTAACTGTTATCAATCCGTGATCAACTCGTAAAACAAGAAATTAAAATTAATTAGGAAATAATCTGTTATTTGTAAAGTTGTTTAACAATAACAAAATCAACTTACTGTTGTTCATATTTTTCAATTGTTAATTCAATTTCTTTAACTTTGTTTGATGCACTAGTATCACCGCTTTTATTATTATTATTATCAACCTTACTGTCGCTTTCACCGACACCACTGCTCACTTGTCTATCTGTCTGATTCTTTGTCGATAAAAGGATCTGTTTAAAATCTCCACTAAGTAGGCAGACATTTTCCCTGCATTTTGCACAAAGTTTTGTTGGATCACATACCAAGGCGTTAGACATCTCTAACGGCTTTCCTTGATCCTTATTATTATTATTAAAACCACCTGTGGAAGATTTACACATAGTGTTATTGGAAATCGTTGTAGTCAACCGTATTGATGTACCAGTACTGCTTTTATCCTCAGCATCATTCATACCACTGGCACTAGGCTTCACTGTGTCAGAATGTAAATTATCAACTCTCTGAGATTTATCGTTATGTACAGGAGTAGTAGTAGTAATATGCGGATCAATATTAGTACAATTATTAGTAAGCGGGCAATGAATAATACTATTTATTTGACCTGAGTGAGTAGTTGACACTGATGTAGTTACACCAGCAGTTGTTGTTGTTGTTGTCGGTGTTGGTGTTGCTATCATCGCTGTGGAAGTCGACGTTTCGAAAGAGAAGATGAAAGGCAAGAAGTAGGACTGGAAGTTTGCATATTTTCAGACTGACTAATTGAATCAGGCTTATTAACTGAATTCTCCTGACGTTTATCGTTTTGAAGAGGATAACTATAATTAGTTGAATCTCTGTGCAGGGTTGCACGTACACCTTGAGGATGCGAATTATCCGATGAACGATATCCACAGAAATTCAGGCAGAAATTTGACTGATGGTTATGATGATGAGGTTGAGGATGTGGGTAGTGATTGCTGCTGCCACCAGTATTATTATTATTATTGTTAGTTGTCTGTTTTCGTCCTCTTCGACTTGAATATCTAATACATCTGGAGTATAGTGATGCTAGGAAATTGTTGGAACCACTTCCGCCGTCATTAGCAGTTATCCTCTTTGATGACTTTTTCGAATTGTTATTTTCATTATTGCTTTGTTGTAATGAGAGACTGGTTTGTTTATAATCACCTAAAATAGAATAAATAAAAAAGATACAATTTATCTTAATATTATAACACCAAAATGTAACTAGCAGTTTTTGTCTATGAAAACATATCCTGAAAGTTAGAGATGGTTGGAGCAGGCAATCAGCAATCAGCCTTGTACCTAGGTTTTGTACTAGTTAGCGAGCCTGGATACCTCAGTGGCAACGTTTCTGACTGAAAGCGGCTCTGGTTGACGTGGGTTTGAATCTCACAAGGGATATGAGTTTCTTCAAGGTTTCAGATACCCTTTGCTGATGAGTGCCAACTAGCGCGAAACCTATGTTAAGCAGTACTTCCTGTCGATTGCCTCCAACCACCTAACGACAACATTTCAAAGTGCACAATGATGGCAAGCTACCTAGAATGGTGACCACATTGCAAACCTGACAGACAGAATTCAGTTTGCACCAAAGAAAGGACTAGACACGTCACACTGGTTACTAGTGCGCAGCGAAAATATCCTGACTCTACTGAGTTTCACGAAGATGCCGATTATGAAAATGCAAATGTTTCTCCTTTCTTTTGCATTCCACGCGGGACATAGAGCTTTATGCTTGGACTCTAATGAAGGATGAGATTGCTACCCTCAAGATCAGCCTTCCCTCTCTACATGTTTTACTACCGTGTAAGCGAGGTCTAGGACTGCGTCGGCGGGGAGTGGAACTCCGAACGATGTGAGGCATTGCTGGAAAGTATTATACCATTAAATCATGGATGACAATGCGACGAAATGTAATCAATTACAGAAAATGTTTGCAATGTAAAAAGTCTTAACTACATCAGTTGAACGCAACACACTATCTGAAAAGTACTTAATTGTATGGTGAGAGCTGTCTGCTATCCAAAATTGGTAGACACCAATTCATGCCAACGTTTACGTCCCAAATATTGGTCACGAGAAAAAACAAGAACAAAGCCTAACCTTGAAGGACTCAACAACCAATCACAACAAGCTTGGCGTGGGTGGTTCCGACTCGCAGATATATCAACGGACTGTCAAAGAAACGGCAACAAAGAGATGAGAGAATAACCTTCAGCCGGGAAACAAACAATCGGAAGACGTTGCTTCCCTCCTAATAATAACGAATGATAATATACATAAAGATCTATAAATAACTGCTGATTTTCTGTTCCCTGACCCTTGTCTTGCATCATTACAATTGTAATTTCCTACGGGATGTTTAAATGGTAATCTGTGGTCGCATTATATCCTGAATTGATAGAAGTTGGGACTCATGAATTGGCCACTGAACTTGGTCCCAGTGACTTAATAGTCTACGAGCTAGTCTTGTAGCTGGACGGTCTTGGGTTCAAACCCTGGCTATTGGTGCGTACTATCGAGGAGTCCCAAGCACTGGGACAAAACAGCCATCCAGTACTCCAAGGTTTTCTAGTAGTTGTCTGACCAATGTCAACTCATGATGCAATCCTGTAGCCAATCAAATCAAATCCCTATAGACTAACACTTGAAATGATAATCCGTGAACTGCTTGATATTTTTTTTAATTTTATTTTTTTGATTTACAGCTTGATTCCACACCGTATTTTTGGTACAAGTATGGAATTTTCAGCATGGATATCGGTAGCCCAAATATAGCAGGCCAACCATAGATATCAGGTGTGCGCCGGCGTGGGCTCGAACCCCGGACCATGTGCATGGTCGGCGAGAGTCCTAACCACTGTGCCACCGACGCCACAAATGATAGTGTAGATACTTCGAACAAAGTGGGTGTGAAATATGTTAGTAAAGATCTGATTATTTTCAAGTTTGATCACGGATTGATATCATTAGCTTATGCAGCTAAAAAATCATCACCATTATCATGTTCATCGTGATCATTTAATACAGCATTACTGCTCTCTAACTATCTTTTATTTCAAGAACAAAGGAAAAAGTATTTATAATTTATAAATCTTAGAAGATTAGTCTTGATTAATCTTCAGGACAGTTGAAAATACTGACGCAATAAAAATGTAACAATGAGATTAGAACCTACTTAAGAACAAAGCAAGATTAACTCATAAATAAGTTGGATTAATTCACATAGAGTTCGTAGAGTTGAGTGTTAGTTAAGTGGTTGAAGGCAGTCGACAAGGACTCGTTGTCTAGTTGAGTGGGTGTTGTTCAATAATAGAAAAAAAAACTTAGGAAATTAAAAGTATAATTAAAAACTAAATTAATTATTTCATATACGGCAGTGGAGTATTTGTGGGTGGGGATTAGCAGTAGTGGAAAATAGGGATGCATTTCAACAGTTACTAGGTGAACGTATGTCTGAATTCCCCAGTAAGCAATGATTTCCTCATTGAGACTAGAACCCAGTACGTATCATATCAAACGCCATAACGATATCCACTAAACCACTTGGATTTTGGCATTCAAGACGATGGATACTGGATTGCACTCTCAATGGGAACACTATCACTAACTAGGGAATCCAGGTATACATCTAACTAGTGAGTGTCGAATCGGGCAAAATGGTGCATCCTTGTTTCCATCGGTGCTAATCCCCAACCACCAAAATTACTTCAAGATATATAACTAAGTCCACTGAGGATCAAATGGTAGAATAAAATACTGTTGTATGCAGTAACAGGGATTTTCAAATATTAATTGCTATGGCTTCTTTGTAACCCTTCCACCAGATTTCTACATACCCTGTAGGTGACAACAAAACTAATCTGTACAACCATCTGATGGCTAAAACCGATTATACGCCATCAGATAGAGCTGAAGGACGGTTATTTTTTCTTATTGTATAACCAAGATGGCTTACATTCAGTTTAGAAACAAAGATTGCGTACATGTATGTGGACATAATTTGCTCTACAGGAGCAGGAAGACTGATAAATACACAGTGAATGATGAGACCACCAGTATTACACTACACTGAATTATTTTTCACTGTCTTTCATGAAATTGTACAAGGATTCATTTATAGAATCTTTAAAAAAAACAGTAGAACACAGGATAGACATTTTACTCATATTTGGAACATTTCAGTAGTTGAAGAACAACTACTCCATCGATCATCAAGATGAAGAGATACACCAGCTTTTGATGCACACCTAAGACTAGTCAGTTGTATACAGCCTTACATTGCAAACTTGACTGATAGAATTCAGTCTGCACCAAAGATAGGACTAGACATTATACATTACTACACCAGTTCCTGACTTGTGTCCAATCAAAAATATCCAGTACAGTCAGTCTGATAGGAGGTCAATCGTGAGCACAGATAGTTCAGTAATGACGTCGAATCTCAAAAGTAACAAAACTACTTTCGAGGTTATAGATACGCCAACCTAATTGACGAGTGCTAACTAGCACGAACTTCCTACTGGTTTCCTGTAACCATCTAACATCAACAATTTATAGTGCACCACGATGGCGAGCCACCTAGTGGCATGGTGGTAACATTTCAGACTTGATTGATAGAATTCAGTCTGCACCAAAGACGGTGGACTAGACGCGCGCACACACACACACATTACACTAGTTATACACTAGTGTCCAATTAAAAACATGGCTTTACAGTTTTCAACGCGTCTCTAACTGAGTCAGTATTTTTAAACGAAATCTACCCAAAGAACTTAATCAGTGTTATATATGTCCCAAAGAAGTTCACCTAAAAACGGTTTGAAAACATTTTGGGCATCGGGTATATGATATTCATTACAATAAAGGTTAACTTGTATTTCCCAATGAATGAAAAACAAAACGATACTGTTGTTTCTACTGACGTTTCGCTATTTAATGCTGCTAACAGCTTTATCAAAGTAGTAGTATTAAACCAGAATTTACAAAATCTCAGCAAATATATATATAACAACGAGTTAAGAGGTTAGAAAATAGACTTAGTTCGACTTAAAAGGACATATTGAAAGTCAAAATAGCAATGAAGATCACTGAACTAAATATCAAAGGTAATAGTATATCTGTTATGATATCAAAACAAAGTTTACTAACTTGATCATTGTTCGTTAGTTTGGGGTCATTTTTCGTTGTCATGTTGGTCAGTTGGTAAAGATAACAAAATCAAGTGTAGATTCTTGGATTTTATCAGTGTGTAAAATTATAGAAGTTGTGTGTGTTTACATAGTGAACTTCCTTATCCCATTCGTGTTGATTTTGTCACTTCATGGGGAAGGGGGGTGTTGTAACTAGGTCAGATTCTGTTTTAGTCCATCATTCCTATTCAGGCTATTTGGATTCCACTTGATATGAAGTGCTTCTGATGATGTTAGACGTTCTTTGTGATTTCTGAAGTTTTTCTGGATGATGATTTCAATATTGTCAAAATCAATTTTGTGGCCTGATTCTATAGCGTGTAGACCTATGGCTGATGATTTTTCAAGTTTTTCTACTGGATTTCTTAGTGGTCGAAGAGATGCTCTACGATGTTCATTTCTTCTGATTTTGATTTCTCGAGATGTTTGTCCGATGTAGATCGCATCACATTCCGAGCATTTTATCTTATATACACAACTAGACAGAGAATCTTTCGGAAATTGGTCTTTTATATGGATAAGGTTGCTTTGAAGTGTGTCTGATGTTTTGAAGAAAACTCAGATGTCGAGCTTATTGAGTACTCTTCTGATATCGTCTGACGTCTCTGCTCTATATGGAATGACGACTGTTGATGTCCATGTTTTCGGAATGCGTTTTCGGTCATACTTAATGTCTGTGTTGATTTTGTTGATGAAGTTCCTTGGGTATTCCTTGTTTTTGCCTTGAGAGTCTCAGTAATGACTGACATTTCTTCTTTTCTGTCCTTCTCATTCGTTTTCAGAGAGTGTGCTCGTCTAAGAAGACTTGAAACAACTGAAATCTTTGCGCTGATGGGGTTTGATGGAATGGGTTTTCTTCCTGAATATGGATATACTAAAATGTCCGTTTTCCTTTCTCTTAACTAGGCAGTCTAGAATTGGTGGTTCACCGACTTCTAATTCTACTTCCAAAATAAACTGGGTTTTGGGAGA